CACCCTCACATCAAGTGGTACCTTATCAATCATATTTTACTGTTAGTAATTTAGGCCAGTTCAATCTCCAGAGCCTGTGTTCTAGATAGTGTATCAGAACATACAAAAACATTTCTAACACGTGAGGATAACAGACCCATTTTCCTAGGGATTGAGGGATGGAATAAAATGCCGGTATTGGGCTCTTCTGGTTAGTAGCATCTTATTCCTGAGCAAGAAGAAATCCTAGCCTGTACTCCATGCCTTGGAAGACCTCCCATATCCCAAACACGAAGCACAGTGATAATGAGGAAAGCGAGTGGGAACTCCAGTAGAGCTGACCCAGGTGCCAAGGTCAGAAGCTGCGGAGCTAGAAACCTGGCCTTGTAGTCAGGGGAGGTGACAAGCTCAGCCTGTGTCCTGGACACTAGAGGAAGAAGGGGGCTCCACCCCTCCAGCTGGTGTCTAGACAGGTCATCACCGTGAGGACACCAAACCAGCGTCTGTGCTCTGCATCAAATTCGGAGCCTCCTACCTGTGCTTTTGTGCCTGTGCTTGTCTTCCCCGTAGTCTTCCCTCTCCTGCTGCCAGAGCAGCCACTGTATAATGCATGTGTAACCTTGTCACCTGCCATCCGAAGTCCTCTGGCCCCTCCACACAGAGGATCCTGAGGTAAAAGCCAAGTGGCTAACACGGCTTCCAGGTCTTTGACCTAATCTCCTCTTAGCCACCTTACGCTTGAGTTTCATGTTCCTCTAATCTCCACTCATGCATTCCACACCCCAGCCATCCAGGCAGTATTCTTTCAGGGCCTCAGGGGGAGCAAACCTTGCTCTGCTCTCACTTGCCTGAGTCTTCATGGGTGTATTTTTTCTGCCAGGACAACACTAATCTTCCCTCTTCCTTGTCCCCCAGGCCTGAGTGCAGTCATCCTTCCTGTGTGAAGTTGTGCTTTCCCACCTGCGCTCCTCCCACTCCTCTCTGGAATCTGCCCTTTCAACTTCCTCTGCTGTTTCTTCCTCCCTTCTCGTAGTACTTATCGCACTGTTGACCTCTCCCGTTGGTTGGCTGTTGCCCCCACAAGACTTCAGGCTCCTTGAGGTCCAGGGCATCTCCATCTTATTCATGGTTGGATCTCTTTCTCCAGTGCTCTGAGTAAACATCATCAGAAGAAAATGGTAAGCTGTGTTTGTCTTTACACTTTAAAGTGTTTAGGTAAAGTTGGCTGCAAGGTGAGATTAGCACCAAAATGCAGCATGACTGTTGGACCTCAGAAGCCATGGGACTTCTTTTTCTCCTATGGTCTCTTAAAAGCCCAAGGGAACTGTGTGTGTTTCCCACCAGCTGTGCTCTCAGGTCTGTTGGTCCACAAAGGACTAATTATACTTTACCTCAGCAGTGATTTGACCGTAGAAGTCCCTGTACCATCAACATAGACAAAATACTCAGACTCTAAGATGGATTTTCATGAGGCCTTCTGATATGTCCAAAATCATACTGTTGTTTTTGAACAGTGGAAATCTGGCATTTCCAATAATTAATGGAAAAAGGTATTCACACAGTTGTGTTTTTATTCAAGTCTTTCACATTTCTTGCCAAAATATTAACTGCAGCGCCTTTGAATGTTTTGATCTGTTTTGGCAATTATCCATCTTTGGAGAAAAATGAAAGCCCGGGGCTGAATTGAATCTTTGTCTTTTAGAAATGGCTATGTGTGATCCACTCTCTGAAATACATTTAGTTTGAGCATTTCAGATGATAAAAAGGGATTTTTAATCTAGTTTTTAAAGTGTGGTTGCCTCCCTTTAAAAAGAAAAACAACTCCTTTCATGATATAAAGCAAGCTGTTTTGTTTTTGTTTTTGTTTTTTGTTTTAAACTGGTATGTATCAGGTGGTTATTGCCCGTTAGGCTGAGAGCTAATAAGAAGCTGCCATTTGGATTTAATCCAGTTCCTTGAGGACAAATTTAAATTTTTGTGATACAGGGGCTATTATCCTGCCAGTTGTAAGGGATTTTTGTGCCGGGCAGCAAAGCTGACAAAGACTGCACTGTGCGTGCTGCATCTATAACTGAACACTTTCCCACTGCAATTTAGGAGGTGTGCAGCTCAGGAAATTGCTGGCTTTGGCTGGAGCAGACTTTTACTGCAAGGAAAAGTTTATTCGTCAGTCAAGTAATTGGCAGTTTTAATACCTTGTTCATAATTACCTTATAAACAAATGAATATATAAGCCAGAGATTGTATGGTCTGTTATCTAACTTGTAGCCTTGCTTGACCAGCATAACAGACACCTGTGCTACTCCCTCTTCTGAAAAAGTAACTGGCTCCATTTCCTGAAAAATCTATAGCTGAGGATTTTCTTTTTGTTGTTATTGAATAGTGTGTAAGAGAAGCTGTACTAGCCAGAGACAGCCTGAGGGCCAAAACCTGATGCAGAATTTGAGGGAAGATGTGACTAGGGAGAGGGTAGGGCCAGAGAGGGGTTATTTGGACACTTGAGGTTACTTCAGTTTGTGGGAGGACGTCCTAGTAACACAAACTTTGGGTTATGTATTTAAGAGAAAATTTCTGACCCCTCCCTGCAAGTGTGGTTTTGTTTAATCCACACACCCTGACCCTAAGGCCTTGTGGCTTGTCTCTTGGACTGAATCCATCTCCAGGACCTAGAAATTGACTAATTGTCTCACTTGCATTAGCCTGTACCTCACAGCTAGATCAAGGAGTTTCTCCACTGGCGAATCCAGATGTGGGAAATGGTCACAATCAGAGGTCATGGCTGACTTGAATGTAAACAAACCCTGTAAGACTTTACAGGAATATGAAGAGTTTGATAACTTATGACTGGTAAATAGGACTGCCTGGCCTTTTTCTTTAATGTGTTGACTATTATCACAAAATATGGCTCTTAAGGTACACACTGTATGTGCTTTGTTACCTAGAACAGGATTAGTTTTAAAAGTTATGTTAGATTATCTGATGACTTGGATTTGAAAGATAAGAAAAAATATCCCTGGAGTTCTTATAGATAATATATGGCAAGTTTGAACACTATTTTGAGTAGTTTTATGAGTTTTTTAAATATACACTGTGTGGTCCATGTTCTCCTGACTGTTCTTCTTTCTTGTGGAGGAAAACAGCACCTGCCATTTGCACAGATCCAGGAAGTAAGCCTTCCAACTCTAGTGAGTGCTGAGCACACACAAACTCCCGAGGTCCTCTCTTACCTATGTAGGGTGCGAGGACCGATTGGGAGGGGCCCTGCTCTGGGACATTCCTAAGCACTGGCATACTGATTGTTCAGCATGCCAGAGTAGGTTCCTTATCAGTTTGAGACCAGAAATTCAGCATTTTTGCAAGGTGAGAAGTAGCAGAACTTTTGGCAGTACAGCTCCAGTAAGAACGTAATTATCAGGATATCTTTGATACTCCATATTCTACGAAACAAAGCGTTCAGTGATTGGTTTGGTACCAGTCCAGACTCAACTCTGTGAAGTGACTCAGAAGTGCTTAGACTTGCTACGTGGAAAGCCCTAGTTTCTTAATTTTAAAAGTATCTGGCATATTTATACCAGAGAAATTATTTTATGATTAAATGGCATAATACATGAAAAGTGCCTAAAATGTGTATAGTGTTACTACATTTCACACACATTCCAAGGCAGGTGTAGACACTCCCTGCTCCCGGGAAGCTTGCAATGCGGCACAGATAACTAGCTGTGTACATCTCTATCAGAATGCAGTGTGATATTTTATGACGGTGTCTGAGGTGTGCCTAACTCAGGGACCCCCTGGTGAAGCGAGGGACCTGTGCCAGAGATCTTAATAACTCAAAGATCTATAGAAATCCAGATTTTAGTAAGAGAGATGCACATAGGAGATGTATTCTCAGGCTAATGGAAATACACATGAGAAATGTTTTCTAAGTTTTCTCACTAAGTGAAAACAGCTGCATACTACAGAAACACAAGCATGTGACTTTTACAGGAGAGAGTTCTCCTCATAACATTTAGGTTGTCTCATTGTTCCTTGGGATTGAAAGAGATGGCCTTTTTGTGATTTGTAGGAGAGATCTGATACCTTCCCAGCTTTTCTGCTTTGATGTGTTATTCTTCCCTCCAAATGATGGTCTAAAAAGACCAAGCTATTTGATCTAATATGACAATTGAGATGGCTTGCACATCTGTTTGATTACTGTTTTCTAACAAAACTGTCACTTAATGCTGAACTTCCCCTTGAGAGCTATGGTATTGCAGACCTGTTAAGAGCTGTGAACTGGCTTCTTTTTATTTCCTGCCCTGCGCCTCCCTCCTAAGTCCAGTAATACTCACCAGTATTTTGAAGAGCCATGTGTGCTAGTAACTGTCACGTAGTTTAGGATTATTAATGTCCACATATCTTAATCGAGCTGTGCCCAGGGATTATTTAGGCTGGTGTACTCTACACTTGTGTAATATTTCTAAAATATTGAAAGCTCTGGAATTTCATGACTGATACGGAAGCCTCTGGTAATGCACTGAATATTACTCTTGCTAAAACAAAAATGATCTCTCTCTAGCATGGCTCTATAAAAGCCCAGTCGGATGGATGAGTATTTGAAGTTCACTGGCACCTGTGGTTTGGGTACTTTTCAGAGAAGAATTAGATTAGGAATCAAGAGGAGAAATAGGGAATTATTGATTAGTACCTGGTATGCCTACTTGGTATGAGACATGTCACTTACCACATAATAAAAAGAACTAAGAAAATAGCGTTAAAAGTCAATCAGTTGGTTTTAAGTACATAGAATTTAGTCACTTCTAAGTTATATCTCAAATTTCTGTAGGAATGGTTTTTATATATTCTATTTGTGTACCGATAAATACATAAAAGTAGCCTTGGTATTGCTGTTTAACTTTTAAAAGTACTATTTAGATCAGTTTTTCATATTTCTGAAGAACGAGTTAGAAATAAAAAATATTTTTCTCCTTTCAGTTTGTTGTAACATAAAACCTCTCATCTGTGATGCCTTTTAATTTCAGGGCTGGAAACAGGATCGCTGAGATATTACCAGAACATCTGAAACAGTTTCAATCCCTTGAAACTTTGGACCTGAGCGGCAATAACATTTCTGAACTTAAAACCGCGTTTCCACCCCTTCAGCTCAAATATCTGTAAGTGAAGTTTTCTTTACCAGAAATTTTCACCTCTAATGAAATTATCATGTTACAATGAAAAGAAAAAAGAACTTTAAGATATAACTCTGCCTGTTTTACTGCTGAAGAATCAAAACTATAATTTTCATTTTGACTCAAGGTTTGTTGCGATCCTGAATAATCAAAATCTTCACTTTATTCTTTTTTAAGTTTTTTATTCTTTATTTACATTTCTGGATTACAAACAATTAGATACTCTTTGCCTAAATACTATATGGTATAAAAGTGCTTCTTCAAAAACAAACACTCAAGACAATTTAAAAAAAGTAATCAAGATGAAACCGTTGCTTTTATTTAAATAACAAATTGCACAAGAAGTAAATATGTCCATAACAAATTTTTACAACTTTCAAATAGCCCAGTCAATCTTTTTTCAGCAGTATGTGTGCATCTTTTTCTTTTCTTTTTTGTTGTTGGAGATTGAACCCAGGGCCTCACACATACTAAGTCTATACTCTACCGTTGAACTATACCCCCCTCTGCCTGTGTTACAATTAATCAGTATTTCTCCTCAAGGACTTGAACAGGAACGATTTTAAGTGCCCGTTGATTAAGTCTCTGGGGATTCTTTGTAATAGAGATTGTATGCACTTTAATTTTCCACCTCCCCCACAACAGAGCAGCTCATCTGCAAACTTTCAACAGGTATATCAATAGCAACAGAGTCACATCCATGGAACCTGGGTGCTTTGACAACTTGGCCAATACTCTCCTGGTGTTGAAGCTGAACAGGAACCGGATCTCAACAATCCCACCCAAGATGTTTAAGCTGTCCCAGCTGCAACACCTGTGAGTCCAACGTCATCATCTCCTCCAAACTCCTGGTGTCTGTATACTGAGGTCCACAATGTGACCAAAGGAGCTTAAGAACAAGCGTGTGGCTGCCTTTCCTTTGAGACCTGGAGTGACAGGATCTCTTCATTGCAAAGAGCTGGCAGCCGCTGCCTGACAAGACACGTTAGATTGTTACTAAAAGAGCTAGAGCAGTGTTATCATTGAACGGGCCCCTTGCAAAGGTGCCATTGTGATACTGAGGAAATCACAGGGGCTCTCAACGGCTGCGGTTTATGAGAAGACTACCAACAGCTCTGGGAGGCTCTGATAGCTTAAGTGGCTGTGAAGAACTGTCTTGTTAATAATGGTGGAATGATGTGCAAACAGGCTCCCGCAGTAGTGGTTTTCAGCCGTGGCTGCGTATTACACAGACTTGGGGAGCTTTTAAAAATCTCAGGCCACACCCTAGACCAATTACATTAAAACCTCTGGGGGTGGGATCTAGGCTTCTATAAATTTTAAAACTCCCCAGGTGGTTCCAGTACACAGCCAAGGTTGAGAACTACCGCCTATAAGAAAGCATTCAAGCTAAAACAGGAGCGCAGAAGATATTCACTGACTTTGTAAGCAGACTGAGCAAGACACCCTTGATTGCCATGCTCTTGAATAGACCTCACGTTTTAGTGTAGTGTTTAATGTTCTCGTCCTGAACATGTAAACACAAATATTGATTTGTTTACTTCTATCCTGAGTGGACAGTGATTTAGAAATTAAAGTGCTGTCTACTTGAATATTTTGTTATTCCAAAAATACATCACACATTTCAGAGAAATTCACTCAGTACTAACAAATTGAAATTCTTTTTTTTTTTTTTTTTTCTGAGACAGAGTCTCACTGTGCTGTTCAGGCTGGCCTTGAGCTCACTTTGCAGCCCAGGCTGTTCTCGAACTTGCAATGATCCTCCTGCCTCAGCCTCCCAAGTGCTGGGATTACAGGCTTGCACCACCACACCCGGCTACACGTTGAAATTCTTCCCAATGAAAATGTTTCAAAGTTCAAAATAATCTAAGTACTTTAACACTGACTAGGTTAAGTATATTGTAGTGGCACATTTGATTACTACCTCTAGAATTTAATTGTCACATAAGCTAACTGTCTAACTGTAATATCCAATACAGTGAACTGAACAGAAACAAGATTAGAAATGTCGATGGACTCACCTTCCAAGGGCTTGGGGCTCTGAAGTCTCTGAAGATGCAGAGAAATGGAGTAACAAAATTGATGGATGGAGCTTTTTGGGGGCTGAGCAACATGGAAATCTTGTAAGTGGTTGTCATGGTCCCTACTCAGGTAGGGTGCCCATACAATGCTCAGTGAACTTTCAGTATGTCTTATTTGAAATTATCTGCCTGTTTCATGATACACAATCTTATTTATCATGTAGTGTGCAGTTCTGTTTCAGGTAACCTAATGGAGAATCTATAACCATATACATTTTGTAAGCAGGACTTTCTATAGTATTTTTTTTTTTTTTGCTGATGTTTTCATATTACCAAAGCTAAATATCTAGTAACAATAGGAATGCGTAATAGGTTGTCATCATGTGTCCCCTTTGAAGAGACTAGATAATGACCTCCGGATCCTGCCTTTGATTCTTATTGTGAATGTAGGCAGCTGGACCATAACAACCTCACAGAGATTACCAAGGGCTGGCTTTACGGCTTGCTGATGCTGCAGGAACTCCATCTCAGCCAAAATGCCATCAACAGGATCAGCCCCGATGCCTGGGAGTTCTGCCAGAAACTCAGCGAGCTGTGAGTTGCCTTTTATTCTCCTAAGATTCCCAAGCAGGGATCATGCCAGAGCGTGAGCTTCTTACCACTGATCTGTGAAATTTTCATAACAAAGTTTCCAAGGTGACAGCTTTTCCCAAATGCAGCCTCACATATTTCTGTCGTGATAAGTCGCAGCCTGCTCTGGTGTTTCAGTTCATGAGACACTGGCAAAAGGAGTCTGAGCTAGTTTTTCTTTTTTTAATTACTCAGATTAGGAATGTTTTCCCGAGTATTGTTAAGGCGGAATTCTAAAGTAAGGATCATGGTGGTTACATTTATTACCTGGCCTTTTGAAAATAATTGTGTTGAATGAAAAAACAAAGACTATTTTTTACATTCCTATTTTTCTTTACAGGGACCTAACTTTCAACCAGCTGTCGAGGTTGGATGATTCAAGCTTCCTCGGCCTCAGCTTACTAAATACACTGCACGTCGGGAACAACAAAGTCAGCTACATTGCTGATTGTGCCTTCCGGGGGCTTTCCAGTTTAAAGACTTTGTAAGTTACACATTTTGCTCTTAGTATATGAACCTAATTGGTTCCTAAATGTGCTCACTTTCCTTCCAGCAGCTTTTCTTTGTTGTCAAGGAAATGTGTATAGCCTCAAAAGTAGCATCTTAATCTTTCCCAGAACAGTTTGATTAAAATAGATCCATTTCATCCATATGTGTTTCTTAAAGGGATTAAAAAAGACAGTGATCGGATTGTGTGGATAATTATCCTTCTTAGCTTTCTCAGGATCTCCAGGAAGTCAGTAACTGCTTAGATGGAAACAATTTTAAATCCACCAATTTTTTTTTTAATAAAGTACAGATTAAAAAACAGCTAGAGCAAAAAGGTATACAAAAAGCAGTGAAGGGAGATCCCTGTTTATCAGGCAGTCATACCCACAATCTGATCTCTGTCCTCAGTGAGAGAAGAAAGTTGAATTAATTGTGCGATGGGCTTTTGATTTTTTTCACTGTCAGTCAGAAATGTGTGGTGTATGACCTGTTGCAAGCATTACATAACTGAAAGGCATGCTGTATGCTTTGGCGAACTCTTTACTTGTGAGGTTGGAGCTGCGGTTTTAGAGTTTAATGTATTTTTTAAATTGTTCAGGTCTTCAGTTAGTTGTCATGATAGAAGAATTAACAGGGCTAGAGTCAACTGTCCTGATTTGGGGCAAAAACTTGAAATGTTCTTAAGGGAAGAGAGCAATGTTAGAGGGATGGTAGAAGCAGAAGAACGTATTACTGTACTTTGAAGGGGGTGGAGATGATGGGGGAATTTATTGGGGATGACATGCCACTTAGGTGGTGATCTCAGGTTTCTGAACCATATCTCTAAAGACAGTGCTCTTTTTTTACATTAGAGATCTGAAAAACAATGAAATATCATGGACTATTGAAGACATGAATGGTGCTTTCTCTGGGCTTGACAAATTGAGACGCCTGTGAGTATAATTTGCCTTAAAATTGGGTTCACTCTTTGACTTAAAATTTTCATCATAAACAGTCAACTTCATAAATTAACATCATAATGAGATTAGAAGTAGGCATGTAGTCAATTCGGTTGCCGCCCTTTATTATTTCCCCTACATGAGCGCTGTTCGAGAAGATACGTGTGTATGAATTGGCTTTTTTCTTCTTGGATAAAAGGCAGAAAATTGAACATTTCAGTTTGTATGAATATGTTGATTCTAATTAAATAAGATCTTTAAATTATTCTGAGTGCTTAGATTTCGGGGGTTACCACTGTGTTAACGTAAATGCTCTCACAAAATTCAACAGTTTGAAACCCTTAGCATTGCGCGCAAGGCACTTTGCCATGAAGTTATCCAATGTTCATTGATAATGCTGCAGTAGGCTCCAAGAATGTAAGATAAAAACATTTCATATTTAGCTCTGCAGGGGCCTTGTAGGTGGCCATGTTATATTTTAAGCTGATGATGAAGGTATCCCAAGATGAGGAGCGGTAGGAGCAAACCTCCACTAATATTTGCTCTGTTGCAAAGACTTTCCTTGAAATACTGTTATCAGTCTGTTCCTAAAAAGACTTTGAAAAACACTGTTTTAATGAGAGTGACTCACACATACCATTTTTGCCAGGTTTTCTGTGAAATTCTGTGAATGCCATGTTGAACCGTCTTATTGAAAGTAGATGGCATGGCTGCAGTTTTATAGAATGTATTGTCGAATTGGAGAGAATGGAATTGTTCACAGATGATTTGAAAGCAATGCTTTCTGTGAGTGTTCCACCCTCCAAAATGGCTTCTTTTACATTCACTGTTCCCGTATGTTATGGTTGTTCTTTTTTCCTCCCTAGAACACTCCAGGGAAACCGGATTCGATCTATTACCAAAAAAGCCTTCACTGGTTTGGATGCATTAGAACATCTGTGAGTAGCTGGAATTTAGTTACCCTAGAGGTAGTCTGAAATGGACATTCAGTCATGTGTCATGAAAGATAAAACAAGCTGAAGTGCAATTTTGTTGGCATTTACCTGGTGGTACCATAAAATATATCCGCACATCTGCCAACTATCTATCTTTGTATCTGCGTATCTATCTACCTATCTGCCTGCTTATTCTCTACCTGGCTATCTGCATGGAAGTTTATATGTATATGTTTACTTATGCATTTAAGTAAATTTCTGTAATTCATTATTAGATTTTCTTCTTATCTGGTGCTGATACGTTTAATTTTTTTAAAGAGCCTACCTCGTACTGTGAATCTATTACATTAGACATTGTGCCATCATTTAAAAATATGTTCACAGGTATCCATAATATAGAGTTGGAGTTAGATGCTGAAATTTACTACCCATAATCAGTGCATATGTTACCTCCTGAATCCCAGGGAAAGTATAGCCCTTCTAGGGTTGGAGTTGGTAGGCTAGGCACTTCTCATTTGATCCTTATGAGAATGCTATTCAGTAGGTAGTATTACCTTTATTTTTAACTTAAGTGGAGGTTCTGAAGGGTCATTGAATCCGCTGGACAGTTAAAATCACTTAGATGCTAAAGATCAAAAAGACAACTCCTCACAATCCATAAGAGTGATATTGGGGGGTTTAGATACTATACCGAGAATTTTTGTTTCTGATGCTTAATATAAAAAGCACAACCCCACCAACACCACCTCCATCATTCTTTATCACTGAGCCATTAGCCTGGCAGAAGTGGGACTCCAGGCAGAGCTGCCTCTGTCTTCGTGGAGTCCCTGCATCACTGTAGCTCCTTCCTGCCAGACCAATCTCCACCCCTAATCAGGAACGCCTGGCCCATATATCTGACATGGGACTTAGGGGTTCAAGATTTTCACCCTGTGAGAGGAAAGCCAGCTGACATCAGGAGGAACCCCAACTTGTCTGAACTCTGTGTTTTGACTAACAGAATCAGTAAACCACTAGGATATGTTTTATGTTTGTACAGTAAAATTACAAAGTAATCTATGTGTCTACTTGGACTCTTGAGGAGTGCTTGTGGCCAAAAGTTTTAATATCTATTAACTTGGACAAGAGAAGTTATTATGTAAAATACACATATGGTTTGATCACTCCTTTGGACTTTGTATTAAGAGTGGAGATTGGGGTGTTATGTGTAGATCACCTTGTAGTCATCTTCTGACTGCACCAGTTAGTGTGAGGGAGATTTGGATTCCCAGACCTGACAGTACAGCAGAGAAAATTGTCATAGTGTGATTCTACAAAGCTATTTTGGAAGGGCGGGCCTGTATTGCTGTGCTTACTGAAACAGATTATTTTCAAAGGAAAACTAGCCAGAGGGTTTGTCACCTGGCCCATTGCATTTCTGGGAAAGCGGAATTAGGATCAGTGGACTATAAACCTGTTTCATTTTTATTTAACCTTTCTTTATTCACCTAGCTTCTTTCCCTACCCATGTCTGGCATCATCTTTCTTTGTTGCCTGTTGCTGCTTGTCTAATTCAAAAATCCCTGTTGGATATTTTGGTCTCTGTAAGGAAATAATAGCAGTTGTTGTGGATAGTATTTTAACTTAAGCTGTTTATAAGTACTGGCTAGAAATAAAGTCAGCCCAGAATATTCTTTTTTTAAAAAATGTCCTATATAGAGTGTTTAAGAATTATGTCTTGTTTGAACATCTTACTTCCTTTATGTTAGTGAGTAGGTGTTGCAGAATTGTGCTGGTGGTTAAAAGCATAGGTTTTAGAGTTGATGAAGCTTTTACTTTCCCCTTTTGGAGTGAACTATGTGTAATGCCATCTTCTTTTGGGTTGCTTTAGGTATAAATGGTACATCATTTAACACAGTGCATGTCATAGAAAGTGTTCCATGAATGCTGTTCTTAAAAACATATGAGAAAAAAAAAAAACATATGAGAAATTCTATTTGTGTATTTAAAAGTTAAGTAGTAGTTACTAATTTGAATAATGAAAAATATACTAAAAGAATATAGCAGAACAGGCTGGGCCCTTAAGAGTCAAGTAACCTCTAAGTAGTAATAAAAAATGCCGCTTGGCAGAATCTGTCTCAGGGGCAAACATCCTTGGTTCTCAACCCAAGTTTTGTGATAGATTCTTCTGGAGTTGCCTGCAGCATTCTGCATTTCAGTACTTAGAGCATTTGTTTGGTGAATGGGATGGACAGTGTGGCCCAAACTTTGCCTAAAGACCCAAAATGACCATAATGTTCTCTGATGTGTTTGACTTGACTGTTTTTCAGAGACCTGAGTGACAACGCCATTATGTCTTTACAAGGCAATGCCTTTGCACAAATGAAGAAGCTTCAACAACTGTAAGCTTTTCTTTTCCTTCCAAGAGCTTCAAGTAAGGATAGAAAAGTGTCATAGACAGTGTCATTCTAGATTAGGTGTCTATAAAAGTGTCTAGCATGTCTTAACCTTACCTTACCTACCTTACCTCACCTTACCTTACCAGAAAGTGAAAGAAATCGATTGTTTGTTCCCTTTGTTGCACCATGGAGATCGTCTGCTTTGAATTTGCAACTTCAGTTTGTGGGGTCACAGCATAGTAATGTACCTAAATGTAGTAGCAATATTTTAGTAGTCAGGCATTTTGATGTATTAGCCCTTCTGCCCCAGTAAGACAAGAACAACAGCAGCAATTTTTTTTAAAAAAATATGCCAGGTACATTTCTTACATTTAAAATGAACTCTGGGATATTTATAACAATTTCTAAATTCATGGCTCTGTTAATATTTACTTTAGTTTACTTGTGGAAATCTGCATTGCATACAAAATAAATTGGATGTAATTGCTCTCCTCAGGCATTTGAATACATCCAGCCTTTTGTGTGATTGCCAACTAAAATGGCTCCCACAGTGGGTGGCGGAGAACAACTTTCAGAGCTTTGTGAATGCCAGTTGTGCCCACCCTCAGCTGCTAAAAGGAAGAAGTATTTTTGCCATTAGCCCAGATGGCTTTGTGTGCGGTGAGTATAAGTATCGCCCTTGATTTTTTTCATGTTCTCTTAATAAAGCTCTTATTTCTGCTGAGATAAATGAAAATGGATCTATAGCGTGCTGATTACTGTAGTTTTACAGATGGGAAAGAGAGTTCTCTAAAATTTCTTCTTTGTTTTGGCGTCAAAGTGGTTTGGTGGAAAGAGAATGAAATTGGATCTTGGGAAAACTAGAAGATATTTCACTTAAATTCCCAAAATCTTACAATCTCTGCACCCAGGAAGTGGAGGTTCTACTACTTGTTCTTAATGTTTATTGGCTCTTTTGTTTTTCTTCCTGTCATAGATGGGGTGTTAATTGTTGTCTTTGTTGATTTTGACATTTAGGATTGATGTTGCTTTCTTGGTTTTGCTGCTCCTTATTTGTGCAAAACATAGGGAAAATTGCACTTCCCAATAGCGGTATTCAAAGGTGGTCCATGAGCCTGGAAGTTTCTTAGCTGCTTTCTCCTCAGCTCTAGGGCTTGTTGAGAGGCTCATAGGAAAAAGAAAATTAAGCAGCTAAGGATTTATGGGCTGCTGAAAAATGAGCCATTGGTTGGGCAGAGAGCATTATAAGTAACAGCAAATTTGCATTTGCTGTAAATAATTCTAAAGTCCGTTGTTTAGCGCTTGGGAATTTCACATCAGAAACCTTTTTACCCAAACTTCACATAACTAGTTAGCAGCAGATCTTGATTAAAAATGTTAACTTTCCATCTCTGATGCAGTTTTCTGTCTACTATACTAACTTGCTGTTTATTATTAGCAGGGAAAGCTTTATAAACATAAATGTTTCTATAAAACATGAAATAAAAATTTGCTTAAATTTAAGTCTATGTGTGAGAGTATTACAGAACCATCTTTTACACTGCCATTTAAGAATATACTCAATGCTGCTTGGCCTACAGTATTTTCTTTTTTAGGTTGCAGCATTAAATAGTGCCAGCAGTTTCTGGAAATAAAACCTCTGATGTAGCTTTTGGATGCGAATAAGCTTTTGGCATCCATCCGTCAGGGCCTGAGATGTTCCTCTCCCATGGCTCCTACTGCATAGTTCTCTAGTTCCGAGAGAGAAACCCCTCTTACTTGGAGACAAATACATATCTATTTCCACAATTTTTAAAAATACGAATCCAAACACTGACTTATCAGACGAGAATTTCAGAACAGCGGTATGTAAGATGAAATTATCTTGCTTGCAGCCCGCAGACATCGCACTGAACATGAGCAACTTTGGGGTTATCGGAGGAGGCCCCCACACCCCTTGCTCATTCACGCACCAGCCCCCCCGACCCCTACCCCCCAAAATACAAATGCTAGCAAATCTGACATGTTCCTATCGGGGCTTAGAATATCTCTGAGAAACTGAGATTCTCAAAAAGAGGTAGCTTTTCCAAAATGTAACAGAAAACTAAAAATAACTGTTTGGAATGAAAGAGTTGCTCAGCTGTAATTATAATGTAGCTCTGACAGGGCAGCACAGCGACGTGATTGATTGGCTGCTTCCAACTCCTGGCTAGAGCCAGTGTCTCACAGTGAGACTTGGAGATGCTTTTTTTCACTGCAGGATTTTTTTTTTTTTTTTTTTGGCTCTATGCTTTTCACTGTTGGTTCTGCTTATGGTACACGGGATATTCATTGCTGTGTTTGGTGATACTCCTGATTAGGACTGATGTTTACTTTCTCAGCTTTGTTACTCCTTATTTGTGCAGAAAATGGGGGACATTGCCATTTCTGACGGTAGCACCCAAAGATGGTGCATGAGCCTGGAAGTTTAACCGCTTTCTTGCTTTTTAAAAAATACTTGCAATTTTTAATGAACACGTAGTAATTTTGCGTGTTTATGGTCTTCGGGGTGACTTTTCAGTGCATGACTGCAGCGTGGAATGATCAGATCAGGGTAACCGGACCACTCGTCACTTCAGACATACATCATTTCTCATATTGAGAACATTAGAAATCTTCTACTGGCTCTCTCTCTCTGACGGGGTCTTGATGAGTTGCCTAGGCTGGCCTCAGATTTACAGTCTTTCTAGCTCAGTTTCCGGCAGGCTGGGTTATAGGCATACACCACCATACCCTGTGGTACAGGCTCTTTTGAAATAATCACTTAATTGCTGTCAGCCAGTTATCCTGGTGAATCACTCAGATTTACATATTGTTTAACTTCCCCTGTGATTTCTTAACTGCCTTTTTATACTGACATAAAGCACAAGGTTTCTTGAATAAACTATGGGTTTTCTGAATGTTTCAAATTAAGAGTCTTCTCTCAGGTAACAGTGATGGACAAATAGATCGCTGTCTCTTCCTAACATGAGTAAATGACTTCCAGACACCGTTCCAGGTATCCTTTGAGCACAGGACTGCCCATCAGTCTGCACACAATAAGCTGAGGGTCAGATCTGACGTGCTATTTGTTTTTCGTTCCTTAGTGCGCATGTGTGAGCAGCCCTTGGACTGTGGCGCCTTCACATTGTTTTCTTTCTTCTTCTCCATTTTGAACAGATGATTTTCCCAAACCCCAGATCACCGTTCAGCCAGAAACACAGTCAGCAATAAAAGGCTCCAATTTGAGTTTTATCTGCTCAGCTGCCAGCAGCAGCGATTCCCCCATGACTTTTGCTTGGAGAAAAGACAATGAACTCCTGCATGATGCTGAGATGGAAAATTATGCACACCTCCGAGCCCAGGGAGGGGAGGTGATGGAGTACACCACCATCCTGCGGCTGCGCAACGTGGAATTTGCCAGTGAAGGGAAATATCAGTGCGTCATCTCCAATCACTTTGGTTCCTCCTACTCGGTCAAAGCCAAGCTTACAGTGAACAGTATGTAATCCCCTCTTTTCCTTTTGCATTTGGGGATGACTTTTAGAAGCAGAAAGCATTGGTTCTCTCTGTCTCTGTCTCTGTCTGTCTCTGTCTCTGTCTCATTCCAAACCCTGTTCTTCTCATAGCTTCCCACCTTTCTCCATGAAAGGAAGACTTTTGGTTCTTTGTATCTAACCCAGTGATTACTGAGGGCTGGCACACTGAACAGCTTGGAGTTTAAATTGGAGGACTAGACATATACTGAAACCTTAAAAATGTTACAGCCTCTGGAAAGGACTTAGAGAAAAAATGAAAGTGGATGGTCAGGGAACAAAGAGATTAGCTGATATGCCAGAGAGCGCACAGATAATTATTGAGTAAACTGAAAAGCGACCAGAAGGTAGCAGAATGACTTTCAGTCTGAGGATCATATGACCTGTGTTTCATCCTGACGCACTTCTATACCACTGTAACCCTAGGCGAGTTACTTCATCTTCCCATTTCAAATTCAGATTCCATGTATTGAAATTAGAAATAATCTCTGCTTTACCTTTGCCAGGGACATCTGTAAATACTTTTAAAGAGAAGGTGATGGGGAAGGGATCCAGGTGAACTCCTGCAACACCGTAAGACATGAGCATGTATCACTTTTGTGATTGCAGTGCTCCCCTCATTCACCAAGACTCCCATGGACCTGACCATCCGTGCTGGGGCCATGGCACGCTTGGAGTGTGCTGCCACGGGACACCCAGCCCCACAGATAGCGTGGCAGAAGGATGGGGGCACGGACTTCCCAGCTGCAAGGGAGAGACGCATGCACGTGATGCCCGAGGATGATGTGTTCTTCATTGTGGATGTGAAGATAGAAGACATTGGAGTGTACAGCTGTACAGCTCAGAACAGTGCGGGAAGTATTTCTGCAAATGCAACTCTGACTGTGCTAGGTAAGAGAATTTTTTAAGACTTGGTAGGATAAGTCTGTCTTGAAGATACTGGCTCATTTCAAGGCTCTCAGCGGTAGAAGTTGTGGGGCGGGAGGGAGTAGGCAGGCAAAGATGCATAGGGCACAGCCCTTTCCTAGAAAGAACAAATGGTTTCTTAGAAGCTTTGAAGTCAAGGAGCTGTCTATGGCCATACCACCTTAAATGTGCCTGATCTCGTCTGAAGTGAGAGCATGTTATACCTTCAAGTCTGCAGCCGGGGAGATAAATCTGCCCCTTGTTTCAAGGAGAGGGTAAAGTAAAAGCTTTGATGGCTTTCTTTTTTGTGGGGATTCCCCTTCTCTGCACTGAATGTCAGGCAGTGTTCACAGCCTTAGAGCTATTAAGAATCCATAAGAAGGTAAATGTGGGACCATACTGAGAAGGACCTGCTGTTCTCTTTTTTCAGCCTTGCATACCGCTCTGGAAATTAGTTCTTTTTTTATATTTTACATAAACAAGTGCTTTGTGAAATTGTGAACACATTTATCATTCATGTGTTTTTGAGAGAGTTAAACAAACCTACTAAGATCCCAAATAAGAAAAGTAAATCAGTTTCAGAATGTTCACATAGCCCTGGCACTAGAAAGTTTCCCTGTGCAAGGAGAAGTGTTTAGAGCTTGGGGATGTGGCCCAGAAGGAGAGTCCTTGCCTGGTGTGTGTGAGGCCCTAGAGGCCATCCCAGCGGTGCACAAAGAACCAACAACAAAACCTAAACTGGTGCAACCATTGACTTCTTCTCCCATCCTTGTACCATAATAAATAAAAATTTCTTTTAAAGTAAGCATCCTTATCTTTTCCACCGTGAATACACTGTTGCAGGTGAAATTATTTTTATCTATTTTCTGTTTTGTTCTTGGTTTTGTTTTGTTTTGTGACAGAGTCTCACTAATGCGTTAAGTTGCCCTGGTAGGGCTCAACATTGTGATCCTCCTGCCTTAGCTTCCCAGAGCACTGGGATTACAGTGCACAATCATGTGGAAAGTTTTCTGTTTTTAAAAGTCTTTTATCCTCTACCATCAATTCCCTAACCTAAGAGTGAGGTCAGAGTTGAGATAAAATTAACAGCTACTATGCCTACTGTTAGGAGTCAATGACAGCGGAATGATGAAATCCAAAAGGTTGTGCTGCTTTTAGGCAGCACAGCAAGTTCTGAGAGCATAAAATTGGAGGCTGCAATTTGAATAAAGGCAAGTGCTAATCTTATGATATGGAGACCAGATTTCATTGAGGAAATTGAAAACACAACTTGTCATTTCAGAAACCCCGTCCTTCTTGCGGCCTCTGTTGGACCGTACTGTGACCAAGGGAGAAACGGCCGTCCTGCAGTGCATTGCCGGAGGGAGCCCTCCCCCGAGGCTGAATTGGACCAAGGACGACAGCCCGTTGGTGGTGACTGAGAGGCACTTCTTCGCAGCAGGCAATCAGCTGCTGATTATTGTGGACTCAGATGTTAGTGATGCTGGGAAATACACCTGCGAAATGTCCAACACTCTTGGCACGGAGAGAGGCAACGTGCGCCTCAGTGTGATCCCTACTCCTACCTGTGACTCTCCTCAGATGACCGCCCCGTCTTTGGATGATGACGGATGGGCCACCGTGGGAGTCGTGATCATTGCCGTGGTCTGCTGTGTGGTGGGGACGTCGCTCGTGTGGGTGGTCATCATATACCACACGAGGCGGAGGAGTGAGGATTGCAGCATTACCAACACAGGTGTGTAAACAGAAGCTTGGCCCGGTGTGCGGCAGTCGTGTACTGGTGGGTCCGCGGCCGTTCTCTGCAAGAATGTGTGTCTCGCAGTCCTAGCCCATGTCATAAGGGCCACTCCTTGGTTTCAAGCTGTGGAAATATGGTTAGCTAAAAATAACACTTCTGCCTGAAATGCAGCTGATGGTTAAAGGTTAATACTCTTTGTTAAAACCTCATCAGCACATCCTGTTGACTGCAAGATAAAATCCAGATCACAGAGCGAAGGAATCTTATTCCTTCGTGAGGTGATGGGGAAACAGGAGCAGTCCTTGAGTTACAAGGTTACTCTGCAGTGATTATGTAGCAGGGTCCTGTGGGTGTTTACCTAGATCGGAATTTAGTTCTGTGTAAAGGTAGGTAGGGGCTGTGACTCCTTTAATCCATGAATCCTGTTTAAGGGCATAGGTATTAATCTGTGAAGATTCTTGAGCCTTCATCTTTTTAAATGTCTGCCTCTGAAATTGGGTGGGTGATAATGTAAAAAGGTCAGCTTGTACTTCAAAGCCCTGATTTACCCTCCTGAACACAGACATCAGGCTGGCTTTGCCAGAGCGCGTCTCCCTGTATGTGATTAGTACAGAAATCAGTCAGCACTGTTTATGTGGGAGGACTGGGACGGTGACTGTCACTCTTGATTGAGAGCATGCCGTTGTTTGATTGCAGATGAGACCAACTTGCCGGCAGATATCCCTAGTTATTTGTCATCTCAGGGGACGTTAGCTGATAGGCAGGATGGGTACATCTCCTCAGAAAGTGGAAGCCACCACCAGTTCGTCACTGCTTCAGGAGGCGGGTTTTTCCTACCACAACACGACAGTCCTGGTAAGTGTTTAAGATGACCGTGGGCTGTAGTTGTTTTGCAATCAGATGCTGAAATATTCAGATGTGATATTCATTTTTGCCGGAAATCGATGTACTAATATTTAGGACGTGGCCCAAGATCACTAAAAAAGCTGACATTATAGAGGTCCCTATTCTCTTAAATAATAGAAAAAAGTTTTTGTTGCTGACAGTCAAGGAAAACAATGATGTGAAATACAATTGAATTTCTTCATACAGAGTCATAGCTCCTGTACATTAGCAATGCTCTTTGGCCAGGACTGCCCTCCTTGCTTAAATGATATTTGTCCTTTAAGTAGTTCCATGCATGGTCTCAAGAAACAGGATTTAAAGTGATTCTGTTAGAGAAATCCAATTCTACTACTTGCTTTGGTTGCTATATGGCTTTGCTGGTAGTAACGGAAGCGGCATAAGGCGGAAGCGGACTTGGTCCAAAACTATTCCGTGTGAACCTTGAGCATTCGCAGTGCTTCCTGGCTAGGTGGTCATGAAGATGAACTCAAAAGGAAAAACTATGCAGTCCTTGCCACATACCAAGGACTCACGAAGTGGACGCTCTTCATGTTGTTTTCAAACATTTTAGCATCTTTTACCTCAAGCATTCATTATTGGCTCTGTGCCAGGCTTTATAGTTGCGGGGCAGGGTTGAATTCATTGTCAGTTTCACTGTTTAGACGTGGGTGAGGAAGAGTATTACAAAACAATTGCAAAGTAGTTGGCAAGGCAGTGATAGATGATGTAGGATGGTATTCTGTTTGGACCCATTCGGTGGCAGACAACAGCGACCCGAACTCACTGAAATGTATTGGAGTTTTGTGAAAACCTAAAGGGTTGGAACTGGGAAATAGGGTGGCAAGCTGCCTTGGCGCTGGGCCCAGAGATAGGTCTCCACCTAGAGCAACTCTGGAGACCATCAGGATTGCTGAGTCATTGTCTGCATGTCTGCTTCTTTCTTGGACCACCACCCACCTCTGACCAATCACTTTCTGTCATCCAAGCACATGGTCCAATATGGCAGCCCTAACCTTAATGATACTGCTTATCCTTGGACTTCCATGTCCACTATGAATGGACATATCCTTTCTGTGTTGTTTAATTTAATAACCCGTAAGATGGTTTTTTTCTTTTTCCTGAGCTCATCTTTGAGCCGGGAACTGACAAGTCATTGGTCACATGCCCATCTCTCATTCTGATCATCTGTGACATTTCATAGAAAGGAAACAGTGCCAGAAGTTATGGCTGAAGCTTTGGCTGCTCCGCATACAGATCTGTTTCCCTTAGAAACCAAATTGCACCAACAGTGGGACTGACACTCTGAGCTCAGTGGTTAAGCAAGAGCTCTTTTAGTGAACTGTCCCAAATCTATTCAATTGCTAATACATAAGCTGACCCCAAAAAGCCTATAAACTTACAGATTTTTCTTTTATACTATATTCTTGCCAGATATTCTCCTGTAAATATAGGAATTGCTAAAATTTGAGAAAACTTGAATGGTGCTTGAGTAAAGTGCATTCACTGACTCAGATTTGTGTTTTAAAGGAACCTGCCATATTGACAACAGCAGTGAAGCCGAAGTGGAAGCTGCCACAGATCCATTCCTCTGTCCCTTTCTGGGTTCTTCAGGCCCTGTGTATCTGAAAGGAAATGTGTATGGCCCAGATCCTTTTGAAGCCTACCATCCAGGTATGTGGTTTTCTTGTCTGATTCTATCCTGTTTCCTAGAGGGACTTGCAGAAATGTTAACTGCATCTCTTTATGATCTGGTTCTCAAATTAAAAAGGTTGCAGTGCTGACCCAAGGACAGCTTTAGTGGATCACTATGAGCCCAGTTACGTAAAGAGAAAGGATTGCTACCCATGTTCCCATCCCACAGAAGAGCCCTGTGAGCGGAGCCTCAGTAGCCTGGGGTGGTCTTCCCATGTGAAGAAGCTCATGAACTCCAGTTCTTCTCACAGTGAAGGACCCGTGATGAAAAATTCATGTCTAAACAAGACCTCTTCAGAGCTGAGTACAGGCCTGGAACCAGCATCAGTTACTTCAAGTAATTCTTTCCTGGGTAAGTTCATTGAGTTCTTAGGTACCCTATTTCCAGATCTGTGCTGCAAGCTGTATGTGGAGCAACAACCAGAGCTTTGTGTATCAAACAGTTTTTTCTTCATGGTATTACCGTGATACCCTACTAGTTAGTATAAATGCCTCTACATGCAAAGTCTGAGGTAGGGATTTTGCTTGGCTGTGTAGTCAATCTATCACTAAGCCGTGAGAGCTTTCTGGGTAACACCGTGTGTGGCATCTAAAAGAGTCTGGGGAATGACTTAGGAGCTGAGCTTGTCAGCCATGTGGAAAAAGTGGTTTTGGGCTCTAGCAGCCTTTGGGGTGGAGTTGTGTGCTCTGCATGATTGTGGTTTAGTATGTCTGGTGGTTTCTCCCTGAACCCGCGGCAAGAAGGGTGGAAAACAGCACCCTACCTAGCAACAGCTGCTTAATCAGACAAGCAGGACGACCTTTGGCAGAGGAGGCCGCCGGAGCCTTAGAGGCCAAGTGGGTGGTGTTAGGTGCTGGCTGGCTCCAAGATCAGATGGTGGCTTTCTTGGTCTAGTGCATGGGAACAATGGGACGAAACCCTACGATCCTCATTTCATGGAACAGAACAATATGGGAAAATGAGCCACAACCTGGCATGGTAGTTTTTTGTTTTTTGTTTTTTTAAATAAAAAGTAAAATTTGAAATTATTTTACTAACCTTTTAAGAAATTTTTTGTTTTGTCAACACTATGATCATTTATATTCTTCCTTGAAAAAAGGAAACTGTTCTGCAACACTGGGTAAAAACTTTGAATCAACTGAGTACTGTTTTGTTGCACTTGAAGAGCAAAAGACACAGGATGATTTTGAAATAAACTTCGTGTATTCAGGCATTGAACTTGAATGCTGTTATCCAAACTCTGTTCATGGAGAGTTATTCCAGAATTGAAAGGAGAGTGTGGAGGGGTGGAAGGGCCTTACACTGGTGAACTTCAGAAACTTCCTTAGGCAGCAGTCCATGTTCCTGTAGGTCTCTTGGGAAGTGATGAAGAATGCATGCATTTATTCAGTGGCTGTGACAAAAGGAGTGCAGATGCTTTCGTTGTGTTATACGAGGCACACAGAGCACAGACACAGAGAGCTGAGCGCCATAATGGGGACTTGTAGGACCAGCTTGCTCCTGATCATGGGAGTGAAATGCTTCTTCATTTGCATTGTACTTGGTTGATTTATACGCTAGCAAAAGGACCCGTGTGCTCAAAGTCTTTTTCTCCTTTCAGGGACGTTTGGAAAACCTCTGAGAAGACCGCACTTAGATGCCTTTTCAACCTTTGAACAGCCGTCAGACTGTGAGCCGAGAACCTTTCCCTTAAAAACTCCTGCTTCCCCTGACTTGGACTCTGAGTCAGAAGATGAGAGAGAAAGGACAGATTTTCAGGAAGAAATTCACGCATGTACCTATAAACAGACTTTAGAAAACTGCAGGACTCCAAATTTTCAGTCTTACGACCTGGACACATAGACTGAATGAGGCCAAACAAAACTTTAACGTACTACCTCAAGTGGACTTTTATTTAAAAGAGAAAGAATCTTATGTTTTTAAATGGAGTTATGAATTTTAAAAGGATAAAGTGTCTTATTTATACAGATGAACCAAAATTACAAAAAGCTATAAAAATTTTATACTGGGAGTAACTTTCGTATAAAAATACCTTTTAAAGTATTTTATAACTTTGTCTTACACAAAAAAAAGTCTTATGTAAATTAATGGTATAAATTCATGACTATTTTATGTATTTTTATAATACCAGATTTCTTTTTATGGAAAATAAGTACTAAAACCTTTTAAATAATACTTGTCTTGTACCTTTTTTGAATAGAGGTCACTTCATTTTATTTTGCACATTACATTTAATAAAACGTGTCAGTTTGATGCCAAGCCCCATCTATACAATAATATTTTTGATTGTTTTTCAACACATTTTAGACTTAGTTCGTGTGATCACCTCTCAAATTGATGATCATATTTAACCCTCTTCAAGTACAAGCAAAAATTAACCTTCTGCCTGCCTAACAGGATTCAAATCACATTGTTGTAGGCAAAAGCACACTATAAATGAAAAGGACCTACAAGGATTTCAGGTACATTAGTATATTTCTAACTTTACAAACAAAAAACAATTTATTGTTATATTTTGGCCTACTATGGTATAATAATCGTTGCTTTCATCACTGCTTAATCTATGTTTCCCTCTATGGTCTAATGTCTCAGTGTCAGCCCAAATAGTTTCACATTTACCATCCTTTGTATTACAACAAGAGTGGTTTATTGCACATCTCTGTAACTAGAAAACTAAAGAAGAGATGCATTTTCATCCCTGTTCCAGGTCATAATGAGATCTTAGTAGAATTCCTTTCTGTTCTTACTGATTTTCTGTTGGTTGAGTGGTTACTATATATAAATGGCACTTCTGGCTGCTCTGACACATTAAGAATTAACAAAATATTTTCCTAATTTGGTCATCTTAGCTCTATTTTTAAAAACTTAAACATTGAAGCTGTTACTTAAAAACATAAAACCACTTAAAACATTTGATTTAAACAATAGTCAGTGAAATTATTGCTATGTGACCGGCCTATGTACACAGAGAAAAGATTGTGTATTTTCAAGACAAGGTGGCATTGTTCAGGATAATTAAATGGAATAAAATTACTAAGCTTAATAATTCAGGTTTAAAAATTAGACTTTTTCTTTAGTAAATCCTCGTGCATATGTGTAGTTTAAAGAGAACTCTCTTGCCCAGGATAAATTAAATCGGCATGAAAGGAGTTAATACAGCATACCATGTTAAGTTTCAAAAATCTAAACTTGAAGGTGGGAATTTCTGCCTTTGTCCATTCTTTGAACTAAACTGAAAGCAGCTATTAGAAAAAAAGATGCTTCTCAGAGGAAAGTTGTGGGGGTCAAGTTTTCCTGTTCAGTGAGTTTAGACCTCTTTCACTTGTGAGTCAGGAGCCTGAACCCAGATTGCAGGAGGATTTTCCTCCCTTAATTCAGACATCAGAGTCCAAGAGAGGAAGCTGGATCCTTCTTGGGCCTCCAGTGACTTGAAAACAGAGAAGTTACTCTGTGTGCTTTGGCCTTATCATCCGGCCAGATTTTGGAAATCTTCCTGTTAATTTGTCTTCATTTTTGTCAAATGTGATGCAGACATCATTTGGGGTATTTGAATGATTATGAACTTGTTTTAAAGGTTTAGCTTTTCCAGATTGCAGCATTAAAGTTGAAATCAGTGCCTGAAATTTAAAATTTAGATTCATCAATATCTTTCCTCTTTATTGTGTTTCTGTGTTCATACCTGTGGAGTAGATTTAATCTTCATTGTCTGGGAAAAGAAGTTGATTTCTCAATGACTTTTTCAGGAAAGGAAAATACATAATGTTGGAACTTCATATTGAATTACCATAATTAATTAGTAGGTATTCAAATATCCTAAGATAACATAAACTTAAGGGAAAAAGCAAAATGTAGGTAAGTGTTAGTCACTTGGTTTATTTACATTTGTGGTGCTGAGGATTGAACCCAGGATCTTGTGCATGTTCCATAAATGCTCTAACACTGAGCTACACTTCCAGTCCCCTGATCACTTTGTTTGTTGATGAAAAACACTTCAAAGTTTCAGTTCACTCTCTCCTGATATAACACTGCTTGATCTATGACATATTTTAATAGATGATCATATTTTTTTCTTAATTCCATTACTGGTAGATAATTACTATGTATCCTATTAGAGAAACATTCATTAGTTGTAGCAACACTTTATAAAATTAATTACTGCATATGTATAATTTTCATAGCCTTCCTACAGAAGAAAACAAAAAATTATTTCTCAGAACAGAGCTAATCACAATGCTTTAAAAATATTGATAGGAAAAAGGAAAGTAGTTTCTGGTATCTGTCACACGTGAGGGGTTTTAGTCCTTTTGATAATGTGATAAAAGTATTTTATGGCCAGTGTTACAATAAATATACTACATGGGTATTTTTTGAAAAGATTAAGAACCAAATGTCATTGTGAAATGCTCGATCTGTCCTTGCCCCTCTTGGTGTCTGTTATGATTGGATTTATGTAATAGGATAATTTAGAACTCACCATTTTTTAAGAAGGCTTTCTATTAACACATTGAATAACACAGTGTCCTGCCAAAAAAGTGAAAAAAGAAACTATTCGCCTTCAAAGGGGGGGATACAGTTTCTTCCTGAGTTGAATAATTTCAATCTTTCAGAAATATCCAGTTACCAGACAGAACGTATCTTTTTCATGAGACATTCCTTAAACAGTGTATGACAAAGTACTGTACCAGTTTTGAGAGATTTCAGATTTGACCAAATATGGCACAGAAGTTTTGGTTGATACATTCGTGTGTGTGTGGTAGTAGTGGTGGTATTATGAATTGAATCCAGGGCCTTGGTACTAAGCCACATACCTAGCCCTTTTATTATTAACAGTATTTTTATTTTTTAAATTTTGAGACAGGCCTTGCTAAATTGCCCACACTGAGCTTTAATTTATAATCCTCCTTCCAAAAATAAAAAAAAAAATAATAATCCTCCTTCCTCTACCTCCCAGAGTGCTGAAATAATAGGCCTATACCAACATTCTGGCTTGGTACTCCACTTAATAGAGGGTTTGTCCCCATATATTTAAGGAATTACCCCAATATTTAGGACCATTTTTGAAAGAAACATTGTGGAATATCTTTTGATAAAAATGTTTGATTTTACACAATTTATCAATTTTGTTATTACTGTAATACAGAATTTGGTATTAAGGATCAGAATTCCATATCTGAAGTCCATACCTTCCCAATATGCTAGATATCCATAAACAGAAGAAAAATTTAACCAATATTCTCGTGTAGCTTTTTATTAGAATTGCAATTTTTAATTAAAGAACTTGTAAAAATACATTTTGAAGAATAAAAGCAATTAACAACGTTACAACTTAATTCTTGGGTTTCTTCTACAATTATTTTCTCTTTCCATATATCTTTGTGGGCTGTCATGGTTTAACAGCTTTTTCTTAAATCAGGTTTGAACACAACACCTAAAACCTTCCTGCGCTTTTGATTATTGTTTCAGTTGGGTTTGTTTTTACGGTCTGCGGCTTGGATTTAGGATCTCACACATGCGAGGCAAGTGCCTGCCTCTGCTAAACCTCAGTGCTGTTGGTTCTTTGGAAATTTCTACTTTTTCTTTTCTTTCTTTTTTTATCCTATCTACAACTATAGAATTTAAATTTGGTCACACACCCTTTTGTAAGACATTTTTATATACTTAGTTGTGATTTTGCCCAGGTGATGTGAAAATTAGTGAAATGATTCTCATCCTATTTGTCAGTGGGGAAGGAAGCAGGTTTGTAACTAAGCACCTGATAGATAGCACTGTGTGCTAAGTGCTGTAATGTAGTAGCCCCCTGTAACTGGCGCTAATTTCCCATCTCAAATGTTTGCCACCTAAATAAGCTACTCGCAAGTGTTACATGCACCTCACTCACCATGTCCAGACTGAGCTGATTATCTATGCATGCCAGCCACGTCCAAGAACAATTCGAGATCTGGCACACCCTTGTTTACTCATCTCTGCTCATATTGCTGCTGATTTTGCACCTGGATTTTTTTCAAGGCCATTCACATCTTTCCACTTATCCCATTGCCACAGTTGAAGTTCAGACCCTTATCTCTCTCTGGCAGCAGTTTCTTAACTGCTCTTCTCATCTTGGGTCTATTCAAATCATTGTCTTCACTGGTATCAGCAGTGGTTTTCAAAAATAGGCATGAATGGGTCACCTATCTGTTTAAAAACCTTAACGATTAACTTCAAGTCCTTCTTACAGCATGTAAAATCTTCCACGTGCTGATTCCAGCCCTCACTCAGCCCCACACACTCCCAGATGTTCAGCATGCTTGTGTTGCCTTCATGCCCAATGTCATTTGCAAACTAAATAGTCTTGTGCATGCTATGACCTCATCTTTGTTTCAGCAAAACTTTTAATGAATGGCTACTCTGCTAGGTAATGTCTTCCATGCTATGCCTATGATAACACTGTTAAAATAAATATCCTTCCCTCAAGAAACCCCTAGTCAGATAGACAAGAAAGTTGTTGCCCTGAAATGTTCACCCCCTGTCCTTTCTCAGTTGGTAGAATCCAGCTCTTCCTTTAAGACCAAGACCTTGCTTTCATGCCAAGCATAGCAGCTTCTCTCCCACAGAACTCTGTGTATAAACTATCATAAAATCACAGGGAGGTTGCTGGTTACAAAGCCAGCTATGATGTCATATGACAAGTACTAAGAAAAATGTATGTAACTTGTATGTCGATAGGACATTGTCCTGAAGGAAAGGAAGTTGCTACGTGGTGGATGTTTGGACCCCAATGTAGTTTAAGAGGTGGTGGGATCTAGTACAACGTGATTGCATTATTAGGCACCATCCTGAGAAGGGATTAGGTAGTCCTTGTGGTACCTCAGTGAGATTCTCCAGAGTTAGTTGTATAAAAGAGTCAGTCAGGCCCCTTCCCACACTCTTTCTGCTTGTGACCCATCTCACACTTGTGCCTGCCATGTGATGCCATCTGCCAAGTGATCTTCACCAGATCCAACACAGTGCCCTTGAACCTTCAAAACTATGATCCAAGTACACTTTTTCTTCCCAGCCTCAGGTATTTCATTATAGCAATAGCAAAGAGACTAATATGCAAATGAAGGGTTCTGTGAGTACTGGGTATTTTGATGTTTGTTTTTAAATACCAGATGATGTGGTTTAACACTTGGCAGGAAAATCGGTTCAAGTGCAGGATACTAAACAAGTAATCAGTGTGTCAAGAGATCTCTGTTTCTGTAAGAAAAACAACTGACTCCACGTGAAAGAGCTAGGCTTATGTGGGAGCTAAAGAGATGTCCCTGGAGAGAGACACTGCTGCCCCTCCATCTTTAATCTCTAATATCCTCGACCTATAAACATGGTTATCAAAGCCTAACAAAACAGTATCTTTCTCTTCTTTTCCTTATTCAAGCTTCTTAAAAGCATAATTCCTTGCCAAGAGGGAAATAAGAATTTGCTCAAATTCAATTGAAACTGCTTTGCCAAAATCATCAATGCTCCTAACTCCCAAACTCTGTAATATGTGTACGATCTTTATTTTACTAGAATAGTATGTTGTTGTTGATATTTCTTTATAAATCTCCACGCTGTTCTAGTTCTACACTTGTTTTGCTGATGAGTTCTTCCTCAGTGACCCACTCCCTAAAACAGCAGTGTTGCTCAGCACATAATTTGCTTGGAGTGTCTGACGTCTAACCAAGTTAATTTTCTAAATTTGATCTGTATATCTTCTCCAGTTCTGTAAATTTTCAATCTTTCTGTGCCACTTTTGAAGTATGATTCCATTTTAATGAAGTGTTTAAAATATTCAGATTCATAACAACGGAAAGTAGAACAGTTGTTACCGGGGACAGAGGTTATGGGACTGGGTATAGAGTTTCAGATTTACAAGATGAGAAAGTTCTAGAGATCTGTTTCAGAAAAATACTTAATACTATGGAACTATACATTTAAAATGATTAAGATAGCAAATTTTGTTTTTTTTTTTTAAGCAACCAACCATGAGAAAAAGGTGTCTGTTACAATCAACATATCCCTAAATTTTTTCTAACATGGAAGTCTAGTTTTGTCAGAACTCTAGAGAAACAAAACCATTGCAGTAACCAGGGAAGCAGAAGAGGGGCTTTATTATGGGGAATGGTTCACATGGTTATGGAGCCTAAGCAATCCCACATTATGCTATGCATTTGTTGGAGAACCAGAAAAGTTGGTTGCAAAATTCAGTCTGACTTAAAGCTGAGAAAGGGGAAACTGGTAAGACCCTCCTGAAGCTCCTGAGAAGCTGGAGCTTTAACGTCCAAGAGCAGGACCAGGTACATGGCGATACCTGCTCCAGAAGAGATGACAAATTCACTTTTCTCTACCATCTTGTTCTATCTGCTCCCAAAATAGGTTAGATGGTGCCCACTCACATTGGGGAGAACAAATCATCTTTACTTGGTCCATTTATTGAAATGCTCATGTCTCTGAAAACACCCTCCAGAGAGAAATAATGTTTTGCCAGCTCTCTGGATGTCCCTTAGCAGAGCCAGAGTGACACTTAAAATTCACCATCACAGCCAGTGGATGCTACTCTCACTTGAGAATTACTAACACACTGGAAGGCCAGGGAGATAGCTCAGCGGCATAAGCACCTGCCTGGCAAGCGCAAGGTCCTGAGTTCAATTCCCAGTGCCCCCACCTCAAAAGTAGTGATAATGCATTGGAATATGCTCTTTTATTTTGTTCTGTTTCTCATCTCTTTTTCTGCTTCATTTTTCCTCTTTCCTCACTTCTCTTAGATTGCTGAAATTTTCCTTGTTCGTTTTCCTCTTTCCTTGCTAATGTAGAATTTATAGGTTGTATTTTTGTTCTTGGAGAAGTTGCCAGTAAAATGTAACATGTTTTCGCTCTGTTTCTCTCTTTCCCTATTTGGTCGATTTTTTGTTTTTTTTTGTTTGTTTGTTTGTTTTGTTTTGTTTTAATTGAAAAGCATTGCTCCCTTATTTTTCCCCAAACAAGGTTGTGAGTTATATTTTTATCTTACATTTTGAATTCCTGACTTGCAACTTTTTCATTGATATTTCTAAATGTTTTCCCTCATTGTTTATTAAACTAATCAACATATTTTACCATTCTTTCACTTTTAATATGCAATTTCATTACTTTTGGTTTATTTTTCTTCTTGATGAACTATATTCTTTAGGAGTTCTCTTTTAGCTGGCTGAAAACAACATTCTCATGGTTTTTGTGGGCCTAAATTTATCTTCATTTTATTCTCACACTTTAATTATGGTTCAGCATAGAAAGTACTGTATTACATTTAGGTACAGTAGCTTAGCATTTCGAAGACACAGTGTTATTCCATTGTCTTCCAGAATCCTCTGTTCATCCATTTTCTAGTAGTCATTCCTTTGCTGTTGACCCAACTTTTCACTTTGGTAGCTTTTAAGGTTTTTCACTCACCTTTCATGCTTTTCAGTTTCACTATGATGAGTCTGCATGTAGGTTTATTTTTACTTACTGTATCAGACATTTAAGGTATACATTGAGTCTGAAAATTTATCTTCAGTTCTTAAAAATTCTTAACTTGAAAGATTTTGATCGGAGGAAAGATGTGTAACAGCTTTATTTATTTATTTATTTAGTGCTCAGGATTGAACCCAGGCCCGTGGGCATGTTTAGCATGCACTCTACCCTTGAGCTACATCCAGAGGCCCTTAACAGGCTTATAGTATAGCTATCATAATGGACCAAAGAAGGCAACATGGGAAGAAAGGAGACTACTTTTGTGTTCATTTTCATAATCCAAGCAATAACGGCTGTTTAAACTGGAGTTATAGCTATGGAGGTAGTGATTATTGTGTATAGATTTTTAATTTGGGGTCAAGAAGATGATGTTGGATATGACAGAAAAAAGTACAGGCATGGATGACCGTAACTGTTTTGTCTGAGAGAGATGGAACTAGTCTCAGATGGGGAACACAGAGGGAAGTTCAGGGATCATAGCAGAACGTCAGCTCAATTTTGGACACACACATGAATTCTGGTGGTATTTAAATGGAAATGTCAAATTGACAGTTGAATATACAAATCTTGGATGAATTTATAAACTCAGGAGTCATTAAGATTAAGACAGCAAAGTCTTTGAATCAATTTAGACCGCCTATGGAGACAGAGACAGAAAAGATGTCCAAAATCATGCCCTGGAGCTCTCGAAATCTAAGAGGTCTGGGAGAGGAGGAGAATCCATCTAAGCTCATTGAGAGTGCATCACTAGTTAGGACAGAGCTTAGCTAATATCCTGAAGTCCAAGTGAAAAAATGTATCAAGGGGAAGAGAATAACTGTCCATGTAGATCTGAAAA